ATTTTTCTGTCGCCCACGAAACGAACCTCTTTGATCCATTCATTCCTTTCCCCGTACGTGGAACGTTTTCTTCACTCCCCATCTTACTTTTAATATACCTGTATCGCTTTCTTCTGATCAACATACGCTCTTCACCCGCCACTTAACTGCTCTACCTTTATTTGAACCTACCGTCAATTAATCGTACTACTACTCAAGGCCTATCCCATACCAATATATACCGTCGAGTAAACCATAAAGCAGAACTGAACGAACGGTAGCACATTATTCATGCCCTTTCAACTTCAGTCAAACGTCACGTCTTCGTCAAAGATGTTTCAGTCCTGCGTACGCTGCTCGACCTGCGGTCGGTTATCTTTTTGCTTTACTACCGTCATTGGTCTCAAATACACCAGTAGGAAAAGCAGTCCTTTATAACTTATTCCTTGTAAATCAATTTCAAGGTGGGACTAGGCGACACCCAGTCTTGCAGCATCACTTCTTTTTTCTTTCTCTCTTTTCATTTTACTTCCTTTTATTTTATATACAAAGATACAATTTTCAGGAATAGGGGAGCGGCCATTCAAAGGGCTGCCATTCAACACAATGATTGAGGTCAGGCAGTTGTGGTGGGATTCAAACACATCCCCGGGATGGTGATTTGGTGACGTTATAACCGGCCCATCACCGCCCACTTGCACTTTGTACATGAATCGTAACTCTACAGTACCCTCATTAGCATGCATTCTAGTTAACAAACAACAGGTTTTCACAGTTTGTTAACAGTTTTGGGATGTAAATCTAATTTTTCCTAAATTTTTTTTGATTTATCTTTCGCCCCAACTTGTATGCTTTTAGCTGAAATCTAGGCTTTATGTCTACAGAAGTTAACACAATGCAATACAGTACAATACTTTGAAGGTGCAAAGCACACACCGAGTGCGGTAACGGAACCTGACAGTTTATCAAGAGTGCTTTATGCATACATTCAAACAGATAGACGATGTTATCGGCGTACTCTTAATCACAGGACTTTTCTCCAGCTGTCAATGAAATACCTACGTTTTGGAAATCATTTAGTGCAGTACTTCTTCGGTACTTCTACGACGAAATTGAACAGGGATGGCACTTTTGACGAACGCCACTGCTGATGACAAACGAGCCACTCAGTTCGTTATAAACCCTCACTCGACCAGATATACGTGACTACAGTGACTTCAGTAAGTTAACTTACTTCTGGGGTAGTTAAAATAAGACCTGGCACGAGGGTATAAAAACACTGAAAAGGAGAGTTGGTTACTTTAGCCTTTCTGGATTTGGACCTCGAGGCTATTGGAATCAATGGTTAAAGACACTGAGTGATATGATTAAGCGTCGTAAATAGTGGCCTTCGCGCATCTAAAGTTCTTTGAAACAGTTCATTGAAATCACCATTTGTTCTTCGATACTACTTCAGTGTTCCAGCTTTTCTCCAACTGCTTCGTTCAAATGGACAGTCAAAAGACAGTAATCAGAACTGGCGCACAAACGTTCATGAATAAAGGTTGTACAAACTGAAACTGAAACTTCTGAGGCATTTCTTTTCGATGAAGGGAATTTATTAGAGCTTCACGATAAACTGAGTTGAGGGCTCTTTTCAGGTCAAAGAACGCTGCTATCGCCGATTGACTTTGGGTGTAATGAACCTCAAGGACCAGCACGTTCGCAAGCAGACCGTAACCCGGATTTCTGTTCACGGATGTTTATCTCTCTTTGAGGAGTCAGACCTCGAAGTAGAATAGATGCTAGCACTTTTTTAACGACTGGGATCAAATTTTTCTCGCGATTATTTGCGCAATCGTTGCAAGGTCCCTTCTGAAAAATGGGAATGATTGGTAATTCGCTTCAAGATGCAGTATGTCGGTAACAGAGCTCACGGGATTATCGCCCTCATATTGAAAGGAGTGGAGAGAACTCCGTATGGTCCTGCTGCCCTTTGTCGCTCCAGAACTTGACTGCAAGTCCGAACTTCTGCTTCTGATGGAGGATCATGCGACGCTGCCCACGGAGCTTCAGCTGCAGATGAGGTAATCTGGCTAGCGCCAGGGCAACTGAACTGTTCGTTGAATTATTCCACTCAGCGATCGAGCTATTTTTCCTTACTGTGAATAGCTTGTCCCTTTTTATCACCGACTATTGCACTAACTGGAGTTAGCTGACCTCTCGTATTGCGCATCAATTGGAACTGTTCGTTGATGCAGCTGCCGCTTCCATTTCACTAGCTATTGTCGTCCACCAGTTCCCACGGTCTTCCTTGTGGCTCTTCTTTGGCTGA